GAGAGAGAGAGAGAGAGAGAGAGAGAGAGAGCTTGATAAGAACATTCCGAGAAAGGGAAGACTTATTGATCGATTATAAGCAAATTGTAATCTATAATTACTAAAAGTAAATAACACAAATTGTTATACGCAATTCATGTACATCAATTACTTACATAGCAAGGTTTGAGAAAAATATTTCAATATATTTGCGACGTCAAAACCAGAAGGTATCGGCTGAGTTCCATAAAGTAATCGTTGATAAGCGTCATGTAGACTAGCAAGCTTTAGACTATCTGCAAAATTTAATAATTTTATAAAATATTTAAAAATTTCTAAAAATTGTTTATTTATATTTAAAAATTATATCAATTTGTTAATATTAAAATTAATTAAGAGATACTTATTATTTATTATTTAAAATAATATATCTCTATAAAATATTACAACAAAGATTTATTTCTTTCTTTAACAGACAGAAAATAATGTATAATAAACATTATGTAATTACATGATGCGTATCTCGTCCCCATCATGTTTATTCAACTGAGCAGGCTCACATTCTCACACACCCTGGGATGCATTGCATCGCAATTAAACTCTATTTCTGACAATAAAATTCTAAGTAAAGATAACTGTTTTAATAGAACGCGAATCGATGAAAAGAATTATCTTGAGCAATAATATCTTCGATACAAGAATGAACATGCTGGACGAACTCACGACTGAAATCATCCCCGACCATCGCAAACTACGAAGACGAGCGAGGAAAACCGATGTGCGCGCATTTTCGTATTGATCCATTTGGAACGCACTGCAATACTGCGCATTGATATTTTTCGTCATTCCGCATTTACATCTCTAATAACATCTTGACATGTATTCGTAGAAGTAATAAAAAAAGCTAATTATTATTTAACTATTAATTATTATAATTTTGCTTTTATCACTTTTTAATCCTTAATACACACAAATCTTTGGATCATTTGTCTTGCGCATTCCTTTTCTTCGAAATATTATAAAAAATACCTGCTCAAATGTCAATCTCTCTTCTATTCCTAAAAAAAATTTGACATTTCAAACAAGTTTTATGGTAAGTTCACTTTTCATTTTCACAAATGACCCATCGTGTGTACATTTTTTGTAATTAAAAAAATTTTTATTTTCTTATTTTTTAACTAATTTTTGTTTGTATTGCATGAATATTTTGTGAATTATTAAAAAAAAATTTAATACAACATATTAGCCCTCAATAAACACGATGGTTTTTGATACCTTTGTATTAAATGTTCCCATATAGCACAGAAACTTGCAGTAGAAACGTTGCAATATTGTAAATATTGCGTTATAATATGCAACATTATAAGTATTAGGAATTATTATAAGTATTAGGAAATGTAATATATAATACATATTATGGCGCAAATTTTACAAATTGTTAGAGATTAAAAACATTTTGAGTTTTCAGTAATGGACTATATATACATCAATTACACGTTGTACGATTGTTAATTATTTCCATTAATTTAAGAATTATAGTGTTCGTTGAAAATATTTTGTCATCGTCGCAGCGCGACAAGATTTTTGAACTTTATAATCAATTATTATAATTTTTTGAAATATTTAGTTTTAAAAAATTTATTGAATATTGCAAAGAAAATGAAATGAAATGCGTGGAGTTTTTTATTATTTGTATTTCATCAGTTAATAATATGTACAACCCATACAGCCGAAAGTTTTCAGAAATATTTCAGAAATATTTCAACTGAAAAGTGAAACGTTTCATAAAAATTACAAAATATGTCTGCAACATTTCTAAGACAGCTTTGGAATAACAAAATGTCCGTGATTTTTGCACATGAAAGCTTATTGAAAGATTGCTGAAATGTTACAGAAAGTATAATCTGCAATATTTTTGAAATATTACCCAAAAGATTTCAGCTACTTCTAGTATTACAAAAATAATATATATTAAGTATATTTTTTTGATACTTAAATAATATTTAAATATATTATATCGATATAATAAATTTAAATATTAAATATCAATTAAACATATTTAAATATCATTTCTGAATTACTTAAAATTATTAAAAGTTTTGTGATCTGTTCACAGATTTTTTTGTTTAAATAAACTTATTTCCGAAAAATAATAATTATACCGCCAACTATTTTGATTAATTAATTATATTATTATATGTATATTTATACGCAACATATATGTATGAACACATATATATATATATAAAACATTATTAAAAAATTATATCTGCAATTTCCATACAATATTATTATTTATATACAAAAGTTTTTTGTAATAAAAGCAGAACAAATCTTTCATATACAAAAGTTTTTCGCAATTAAGATGTTTTATATACAGGGTGTTTGGAAATTAGTGATAATTAGTGTCTTTCGTACAGGAGCAGAATGGACTAAACTGAGAAGAAAAGTTCTCTACCATTTTACAATTGTTGCAATGGTTAACAAGTTATTAATTTATGAAAAGCCAAATTCGCCCAGCCCACCGCCAAATCACAGCATATATAGTAGCGCAATTTTTTGTCGGCACCTTTGATGTTAATGTTGGCCAAAATGGAGTGCGCATGCGTGAATAAGTAAGTTACCTAGCTTTGCCGTGATTATCTTCTTTCTCTTTTCATCCTTTTTTCACTCTGTCAAAATTCCTCACAAAACTTGCTAGATTTATTTGCATCACAATCCAACGAATTCATTGAAGTGAGTAAGTGCTATTGTAGGAACATATTAGAATATATTAGAGCATTCGACGCGAATAAATCCAATATTGCAATGAAATAATTTAAACTTTATGAAAATTAATAAAAATAAATTGTAAATATATTGAAAAATAAAGAAAAAATATAGAAAAATTAAGAAAAATATTAAGTAAACTTAAAAATGTATATTTGTATAAAGAAATATTCAATCGGTCTTTGGCGAGCAATTTCCGTTCCTCTGTAAAAAAACTTTCAACTGATTTCTCGACATATATAATGAATTCCATACGTATACTTAATATTGTCTATTTGGATGATAATATTATTTTTTTTATTATAATTAGAATCAATTAGAATATAATGATTTTTATTTTGTAACATCTCGATTTTTCTTAACATATAATTTGTATTTTAGATTCTTATATGTTCTTTATTTTGTTTATTGATATTAAGAATCCTTTATTCTTATTAATTTTAACAAAAATGTGTTATTAAACAAAAATATAATCTTATTCGTACACTTTTCTTTTTTTTTATGTGTGTGTAGTGTTTATTTGAAGTGTAATATTAAATATACTTTCAAATTTAATTTTCTTTGCAAGAACTGTAGGTCTAATACATCTTAAAAATAGTCACAATAACATTAAAATGATATTAAACTGAATCGTGATCAAAAAAATGACTTTTAAATATTTTTAATTAATAAATATTTTTAATTTTAACATCATGATGATTTTTTGTTCTATTTAAATATATTTTTCTATTTATTGCATATGATAGATTTTAGAACTTCTTTTGTTAAAATATTTCATATGACAATAAAATATTTCATATTTCTTATTGCAGAATTCTTTCAAAACTGTTGCACATAAGATGCGAAAAGTTGAAACATTTCTGAAAATTTTCCGCAATATCGATACTATATGGGAAAATAGGCGTACCTGCATAAAATGTGAAATATATGTATATTTGCGAAAAAGTATATATGTAAACTTTAAAATATATATACCTGCATATAAAATTTGCAATTAAGTATAAAATATAATAATTATATAAAATTGTATATAAAATTATATATAATACTATTAATTAATATTATTAATATTCATATAAGAATCATACAAGCATCATACAAGATCCAGCTAAACCGTTCAAAGTTTTGATTTCCATAGTTTGTATTATCACATATATGGTCCTATATATATTATATTGTTTATTTACATCATCTAAAGAGTGATTCCTTCATATGCCAATTATTGCGAAGAATATGCAATAAGGTAATCTAAAGATCCCGCTCGCATGGGATGCAAGAGATCCGGATTCGACTTTCGGCTGAAGTAATATTTTTCGCAATAACAATGAATTATTTACAGATTTTAATATGTCATTCAACATTATTAAGATCGTTTCGAAGATGCAAATAAGCATAAAAAATTTGTTAAATTATTAATCAATTTAACTCATGATATTATTGCGGTAGTTTAGTAGAGTTAGCGTTTCTAGGGACTACGTAGTATATAAATTCACAAATCATACAAGCATTAAGATTCAGTTAGACCAATTAATGCTTTGATTTCTATAGTTTATGTTATCATATACGCTCCTATAATATATTATATCCTATATTGTTTATAATATTATATATAATATAAAATATATATTGATTAGTTCTTTTTCTGTATTTTTTATCTATATCTTAAATTATATTTAAAATTATATTGAGTAATAATAAAAGAATTTTTATTTTAGTAGTTGCAAATACATTGCGCTGCAACATTACTACGACATTACAACAATTTTGCTGAAGGACATTTTTATGATGCTATGATAATGTTGCAAATATAATGAGCAATTAATTTGTAATATTACAATATTACAGTAAGATATATCTGCAATCATTTTGCAATCTTTCTATGCTGTATGGTGTTATTACATATTATATTGTTTCTAATGTTTTTCTTAATAAATTATAAATTTTTTAATGCAACAGCAATAATAAAACGCATTATTTAAAACATAAATATATCTTCTAATTTAGAGACATTCAGGCATATTAAAACATCTTTTTCGGGTTACTACTTATGCAGCAAAAGATTGAAGCAATATTACTACAATGTTGCAATATTACAGATTGCAATGTAATATTGCAGAGATATTACAGAAATATAAATTAACAATATGCCTGTAAAATGTCAGTAATATGCTTGTCAGTAATATTCCACAACATTGCAAAACTGTAATTCTTTAATTGTTACAATAATAATATAAAAATATAAGTTTTTATAGTATTTATGTAGTATAGTTTTTTAATTTAACAGCCATTTTTTATGATATAATAATTAATATAATTTTATATTTCAATAAAAAATTTATTGATCTATTAGGTGTACAACTTTGCTTCCGCCGTTTTTTTTCCGAAATTCGAGGCTTTACTGTAAAAAACTGGTTATACATTTATGATTCAAAGTATTGTCCATCGATGGCCACTACTTTCTCCCATCTTTCGGGTAGCGTATGAATCCCGCGTCGAAAAAACTGGTCATCTTTTGAAGCTATCCACGAATCGATCCAATTTTTTACTTCTTCATAAAACCGGAAGTGCTGGTCAGCCAGGCCGTGTGCCATTGATCGAAACAAGTGATAATCAGAGGGAGCAACGTCTGGAAAATACGGTGGGTGGGATAGGATTTCCCATTTCAACGTTTCCAAGTATGTCTTGACCACTTTCGCAACATGGGATCGAGCATTGTCATGCTGCAAAATCACTTTATCGTGTCTCTCGTTGTATTGCGGCCGTTTGTCTTTCAATGCTTGGCTCAAACGCATCAATTGCGTTCGATACCGATCGCCTGTGATTGTTTCAGTCGGTTTTAACAGTTCATAATACACTACGCCGAGCTGGTCCCACCAAATACAGAGCATGACCTTGGACGTCAAAATCACCGTTCTTAAAGCGTTGAAACCACTCACGACACGTTCTTTCAC